CAAGCAAGCTTGAAAACCACAAGTTGAAAATTGCAGGGCCTCTGTTAGCCTGCTAAGAACTGTATGGAGCAAAGAAATCCCATGCTTACTCTTCCCCATCTCAATGCCAATGGGCTTTGTTTGAGAGAAATAAGTTTCCACTCTTCTAAGCCTCTGAAATGTTGGGGCTTGTCTGCCCCTGCAGTTAGCCTACTTTAACTAATATAGGATGTAAGGATATAGGTAAGTCTGTACCATGAGAACATGCACTGGCCTATTATTTCTGGATCCAGAGCCCTGAATATAGTCCCATAATTCTCCTGCAGAGGTGGTTGTTACTATAATCCCCCACTGAGAAAACCCTCTAGAAAAGAATCCTCTAACTCCAGGGGGGAGTACTTAGGCTGTTGGGAGTATTCTACTCTTGCAAGGACAATTCAAAAGCCAACATTTCTCTTGGCCTGTGAGACATGGTCCTAGCAGCACACAGAGGAAAAAGTACTGAGAAATTCTAACTCCAGATTTTGAAGTGAACAAAATTGGATAGAGAGAAACCAGGCGCATAGCTACAACAGAGCCCAACATGCAGCAGAAACAGAACCAGAACACAGGACCATCTTCTAGGCCCCTTACTTTCACCTGCCACAGACTGGCATATGCTGTCATTACAGTCTAAGAGAAAATCCTCCTGGTTTTTAAATGTTTGTATGGAAGTCAGTTAGCAAATTTCACAATGTTCAAAGTCCCAGTCCTTATCAGTTATGAAGAGAGAGGTTTACCTTCCCTTTTAAGATGATGACGGAGCCCTTTCTCAACATCTCCTCTCTCCCATGGAAGCCAGTCTCTCACACACCAACACCTTACCCACTGAGTGATCACTTTCCACTGGGTAGCTATTTATAGTAATGCCCATTCCAAATATAATCTCAGTGGATATAGAAACTATTAAAAGAATTTGCAACCTGACTTTATTTTTAATTCTGCTGTCATTCTTATCCAAAGTATTCCTCTGTTAAAAAGAGACAGTAGGCTCAAAATGGAGTCACTTATGCTAAGCCCCACATCACCAAACCCAGAATTACTACTTAATTAGCCTCTCCCCAGAATGGAATCTTAAACCACTCAATCTGGAATTACCCAGTCAGCATGAGTGGGCTAATCTGCCTGATAGTTCCCTGCCATCCCCTAAAGAAAGGTGACCTTAAAATATATTTTTGGGGGGGCACCTGGGTGGCTCAGTCAGTTAAGTGGCTGCTTTCTGCTCAAGTCATGATCTCAGGGTCCTGGGATTGAGCCCCGCATCGGGCTCCCTGCTTGGCAGGGAGTCTGCTTCTCCCTCTCCCTCTGACTGTCTCCCATGCTCTCGCTCACTCTCTCTCTCAAATAAATAAATAAAATCTTTAAAAAAAATTTTTTAAAAAATAAAATAATTTTTTTTTTAAATTGGGTGAAATGGTAACCAAGCTGCAGATGATACTTCCAATTATTATTTTTGAACATCTGGGCATTGACAATTTTGAAAAACTTAAGGAGGTGCCATTGTGGAGCACTGGTTCTTAATCATTCCCCTTAAGAAGCTGTTTTGATGATACACATTAAGTTTTGCAACAGAAAGGAACAAAAGTAAAAAGAAAGGCGACCTGACCACAACCATTTTGCTAACTAGTCCTGCTCCCTTCTGCCTGTAAGCACCTTTCATTTTGTACAGCTCCTTGGAGCTCCTTCCTATCTGCTAGATGGGATGTTGCCTATTTCATGAATCCTTGAATAAAGCCAGTAAGATCTTTAAAATTTACTCAGTTGAGCTTTGTTTCTTAACACCTCCAAACCTTAACACTCTTCGGCCATTTTAGGTACCTCTCTCTCCTTCCTAGTCTGCTGAATAAAATGGCTCCCATCCACACAGCAGTTACTTGGTACCAGACTTTGTGCATGGCCTTTACATACATTAGGTTATTTAATCTTGACATGAGATAGAGAGTATTATTATCCCATTCTGCAGATTAAAAAAAAAAACAAAAAACTGAGGCACCAGAAGGTTAAGAAAATTGGCCAAGCTCCTATAGCTAGTAAGGAGCAAAACCAGGGTTCAAGCCTGAGCACTGTGAACCCCCAAACCTCCACTCTTAACCATTGTATTATACTGCTTCTTCTTTCTTCCTTTTTTTTTTTTTAAAGATTTTATTTATTTATTTGAGAGAGAGAGAGAGCACATGAGAGGGGGGAGGGTCAGAGGGAGAAGCAGACTCCCTGCTGAGCAGGGAGCCCGATGCGGGACTCGATCCTGGGACTCCAGGATCATGACCTGAGCCGAAGGCAGTCGCTTAACCAACTGAGCCACCCAGGCACCCCTGCTTCTTCTTTCATTCAGCAAATTTTTGCTCATGAAAGACACCTCTTGGAGGAGTAGTTGATCCTTCAGAAGGTCTAATAAATAAATTCTGGTTCATCAGACCATATCTGTACCCTTTTCTTCATCCCAGCACTTGTGGCATGTGGGAACCTCTTACCATGGGGCTGGTGTTCGCTCTCAGAGCTACCTCCCTTCTCTACACCTTCGCAGCTCCCTGGCAGGGTGAGATCCTGGGGCTGTTGCCACAGTCTTCCGGAAAAGAGAAGCTTCTTGCTCCAGCACGTTCTTAACGCTCAGGGGAAGAGCTATGGGGCCAATCTGTCACTGTGTCTATATTTAGCCCCATCTGCCAGGAATATTTCAAGCTGCCTATTTTAGTACAAGCCGTTTTGTGCAAATGCCACTGTTCCACCACTAGTTCGTGGGAAACCAAGGGCATTAAGTGGATTTTCTGGTGTTTATGTTAAGTGTTGTGAGTTGGCCCTTCAGCCAACCTTCACATGAGCTAGGGGAGAGGATGGAGGCAGTGTTTTCCCAGGGTGTTAGTCCCAGGGGCCCACACTTTTTAGTGGCTCAAAAGTCATCCAGGGGTGGCAACTGCAGAGGGGGTGGTGGAAGTCCTGGCACGAGGGGGAAAAGGACTATAAAAGGCCCAAGACTCTTCCCCAGCATCCCTGAGGCAATGTGATGGCCTCGCCCATTTCAGAGCTCCCCACTCTGGCTCCATAAATTACTGCATAGACCCTTACGGCCTTGTGGATCTGTGTCTGTGAAAGACAAGGGCTCCTGTTCACTGAGGGCTTCCTGTGTGCCAGTTTTCAGCTCACTTGCACATGCACCATTTGTTTTGTCCATATGACATCCCTATGAGGACAGTTCTAGTCCTAGTTCCACTTCACAGCTAAGGAAACTGAGGCTTAGAGAGGCTGAGGGACTTGTAGAGTCAGATTTAGAACTCAGGCCCACCTGAAACCAGACCTCAGGATCATAACTATTACCATCATGCTGACCCATTCTATGTGCCCTACCCAGCCAGTCTCCCTGTTTTCTCCCCCGAGCCATAGACATTGGATTTTTTTGCATATATTTCCATCTCCATCTTATTTTCCAGACTCAATGCTTAACTGCATTTGAGGGGTTCTGACCACAAGTTTGTTACTCACCCCACTGTGACTAAATACCCACCCCCAAATTGGGCCAGCAACAGCCCAGTGAGGTAATGGGGCCTGGGACTTGCCCCTGCCTTGAGTAAGTACTGGTTGGCAGAAGCAGCTGAGCAGCTTTAGGAGAGGTTGCCCCAGCTGCAGAGGTGAGTTTGACTGGAGATGCACAGAACCTGTCTTTCGTCTGACAAGGGCTGCTGGGAAAGGAACTACCACCAGGGACTGGCATGGGACTAGGACTGAGAAGACAGACATTGGGGTGAAGCTCATTAATCCAGCTGTCCTGGGTAACTTATTAATCTTCAGAGTGGCTAAATCTAAGTGAATTCTGAATTGTGATAATAGGAAAATCTTGAGATAGATATAGATATATATATATATATATATATATATACACACACACACACACACACTTTTCTAAGCACTATTCCTGAAGATAAGTATGTTTCACCAAATCACCCTAGCATGAAGGTTGAAAGAAAGTGGCTACACACCTAGCCTTAGAAGTCACATGGTGTCCAATTGTAGTCCCATAATAGTCACAGACCAGCCTAGATTCAAGAGGAGAGAACATAGACACACTCCTCAAAGAAGTATCGACATCAATTTATAAGAGGGGCACGTGAAATGGGATATACATTATGGTGACTATCTTTGAAATATACAATCTTCCATACCATCTGCATTGGACTAGGGGAAGAACTTGGGTTTGGAAGAAATTGGGCAAGGTTGGGTAGCTAGTATTTGAGTGCTAGAGAGTTAGCATGGCAGTGGAGAACCAAGACACCAAGAAATTCCTTCATACAGTCAACAAATGTTGAACCTCCTTGGGTACTCACCATGAGCCAGAAACTGGGGATACACAGTGAATAAGAGGCAAGGTCCTGGCTTTCATGTAGGTTACACTCTGGTAGGAAGACAATGACCAGCTACTCAAATACAGAAATGCCATTAGGAACTACAAAGTTAGAAAGGACACTGACAATATTGGAGAGAGTGTCTCTTTTAAGATAAAGTACTTAGGGAAGACCTCTTTGAGGTGGGAACATTTGAGCAGAGGCCTGAATGAACGGAGGTAGGGAGTAAAGCATGCAAACATCTGGAGGAAGGGCAATCCAGGCTGAGGGAAGAGCAGGTATAAAGTCCCTGCAGAGGGATAAGCTTGGTGTATTCAAACAGGAAGCCCAATGTAGCTGGAGTGTAAGGATTGAGTTCGAGAAGGGTAGAAAATGTAGTACAAGAAGTTGTTAGTAGTTGTGCTTAATTTGAGGCAAAATACATTTCAAAACCTTGTTTTTGTTGGTATTTGTTTCCCCAAGTGTTAGGATGGAAGGACAAATTCTCATTAGAAAGCATCCATCATTAATATAGGCTTCCTGTTTTCTAAATGTAAATGACCATGTTTCCATTGAGGGCAGAGCTGATGAATACAAATTTCAGAAAAATGTCTCTGACATGAATGTAGAAGCATCTGGCCACCCTCAGGGTACCTTCCCACCACTTACCGCAGCCAATCTGGTCTTTGTCAGGGCATCTTTTTTTTCAGAGAGTAACTATGACAACGGAACGTGATGCTGTGGGTCTGCAGCAGCCCTCTATTTGCACACAACATGTGATGCTATCAGAACACAGAATTATGAATCAGGATAGCGTCAGCCTCTGCCTTTGTAGTGAACAAGTAATCCGCTATTTGATTCAATTAATGTTTTGTTATCGGTTTTGTTTTTACTATGATTCTCTCATAACAAGATGGGTAGGCTGTTCTGTAATCTATAGCACCATTTCCCAAATTAATTTGATCAAGACCTCCGTATTAGTTTTCTATTGTTGCTGTAACAAATTATCACAAACTTAACAGCTTAAACAACACAAAGGTATTATTATATAGTCTGTAGATCAGAAGTTTGATGTGGGTCTCACCAGGATAAGATGAAGTTGTCAGCATGGCCGTGTTCCCTTCTCTAGGTTCAGTGAGAGGATCTATCTACTTCCTAGTCATTCCCATTCTTGGTAGAATTGAATTCCTTGTGGTTACAGGAGTGAGATTTCCATTTCCTTGATGGCTGAGGGCCATTCCCAGCTTCTACAGGCTGCCTGAATTCCTTGGCTCCTGGGCTCTTCTCTTATCTTCAATGTCTGCAGTGATGGGTTGAATCCCTCTCAAACTTTGAACATTTCCTCCTTCTTCTTCTGTCTTATCTCTCTTGGACCACAGCCAAGGAAATGCTCAACATAAGGACTCATGTGTTAGATTAGACCCACTTGGATAATCAAGGATAATCTCCTCATCTCAAGGTCTGTACTCTTAGGCACATCTGCAACATTCCATTTGCCATGTAAGGCAACACAGTCATAGGTTCCAGGAATTAGGGTGTGGACATCCTTAGGCGTGACAGTATTCTGCCTTCCACAACCTTCATTCCCTAACTTCCATTAACCTAGAGCTTAATGGACTACAGTTTGCAAAACACTTCACTGCTCAAAGGTATCAAAAGGGCTGATTTGTAGACAGGAAAGACACTAATTCTTTAGGGGCAATGACAACAGCCAAGGCCCTGGGTGGGCAGGAGACCAGGTGCAGGTTGGATTCCTCCATGTGGTTGGGGATGGAGGTGCAGAGGAAAAAGGTTTCAGTGATGGGTTTATTTTCTCCCCAAGCCAGAGTATGAATCAGGTAGATTTTTGGATTGGCCCCATCTGTCAAGAACTTCTGCCTCTTAATGCCTGAAGGGAGAAGAAAGGACAGTTACTGTACCAGGTTCTTTTCCCAATCACCTCATATAATGGGCATGCTAACTTGTGATGGTGAACCCTGCATTTGAACCTTTGTGTGATGGATTCATTTGGTGTCCCACCCAGATCCCTGTTACTGGACTGGTGCATCCATCCTACAGCAGCAGTATGCTAACAGCTCACAGCATCCCTTTTCTCTAGACAGTACCCTTACAGTTGATGGGAGATGCCCCAGCTATGAGGTCATGCTTCCACAACACGTACACACACACACACACACACACACACACACACTCACACACCTTCCCAACCTGCAGAAGTCTGGCCCTCACGCCTCGTGGTGGGAATATATCTGTGATACCACTTATGCCCCAGAGTCTTCTGTGGATCAAGTCTGGCTTTTTTTGAGACCATAGCCTTGCTCCACTCTTCCCTTCACTTTTCTGCTTCCCTTCTTCAGTTCCAAGTTTTTCCTGATTAAATCAATAAATCACATGTCCCCAGAACTTTGCCTCAGACTCTGCTTCTAAAGAACTCAACCTAAGATGTGGTAAAACTAATGAGTATATCGGGACCCATGAAATGGAGGCCACCTCACTGGCCCTGCCCACATCACAAATCTGAACCTAAGTCAGCCTGCAGTTACAGGAAGCACTTGTCAAGGAAACTTAACACCATTACAATCCCCCAACTAAACTTCAGCTAGCTTACCTTACCCTAGAAAATAAGACCTGGGGATGCCTGGGTGGCTCAGCTGGTTAAGCACCTGTCTTCAGCTCAGGTCAGGATCCCAGGATCCTGGGATCAAGCCCCACCTCAGGTTCCCTGCTTGGCAGGAAGCCTGCTTCTCCCTCTCCCACTCCCCCTGCTTGTGTTCCCTCTCTCGCTGTGTCTCTCTCTGTCAAATAAATAAATAAAATCTTAAAAAAAGAAAGAAAGAAAAGAAGACCTACTTGCTTTATCAGGAAATGCCCAGCTTCCTATCCAATCATGCCCTCTTACGCGCTGCCTCTACTAATGCTCCCTAACACTTGCTCTTGCCCGAAATCCCTTGGAAAGACTGATCCACCGCTGTGAGGCACTGCACCCTCCCAATCCATGGCTCCCTAATTCCAGAGTTCTCGCTTTTTGCAGGTTCCTGGCCTAGAATCAGACAGAACCGAGAAAATGTCTGGAGAAAATGGCACACCGGATCCATGTCCCCTTCCAGGTATATGGCTGAACAAATCAAAGGAAGCTTGATGGTTTGTTTGCAAAAAGTCGGGGTGAGAATTCTGTGCAGGATTCTAAAGAGCTAGTCTGTGCAAAAGGGTGCAAAGTTGAGAGTAGAGTTGAAATACAATGGTCCACGCCAGTGCTGGTTCCTTGGGGGCAAGGACTGAGCCCATCATGCTCATGCTTATCCCTCTGCTAGTGCAGGAGCTGACACATGGAAGATTGGCTGCTTGTTGAATAAGTGAATCAAGTTGAGAGAAGCAATAGGACATGATCACGGTCTCTGTGAGCCAGGAGGTTAAGCAGGAGAAAGTTGGGAAAAGAAGATCTGTTCTCAGTAACACGTGCTCTTTTGAACGCTTCCAAACTCCTCTGTGATCACACTTCCTGGAACCTGCTTATAGTTCCCAGGAATCTGTGGCCACAAGCCGTATCCTGGAAAAGTGGCATTTCCCGTCAGCCCTTCCCCCACACCCAGGCTGGAGTTCCAGCAGCCCGCTCTTGTACCTGGGACATGCCCTGCCTTGAAGACATCTAGCAGAGTTCTTGGTTAGGCTTAAATTATTTTTATTAATATGTTATTTTTTAAATTTTATTTTATTATGTTAGTCACCATATATTACATCATTAGTTTTTGATGTAGTGTTCCATGATTCATTGTTTGCGTATAACACCCAGTGCTCCATGCAGAACGTGCCCTCCTTAATACCCATCATAGGGCTAACCCATCCCCCCGCCCCCTCCCCTCTAAAACCCTCAGTTGGTTTCTCAGAGTCCATCGTCTCTCGTGGTTCGTCTCCCCCTCCGATATCCCCCCCTTCATTTTTCCCTTCCTACTAGCTTCTCTCTCTCTCTCTTTTTTTTTTAACATATAATGTATTATTTGTTTCAGAGGTACAGGTCTGTGACTCATCAGTCTTACGCAATTCACAGCGCCCACCATAGCACATATCCTTCCCAATGTCTATCACCCAGCCACCCCCTCCCTCCCTCCCACCCCCTCCCACTCCACCAATCCTCAGTTTGTTTCCTGAGATTAAGAATTCCTCAGATCAGTGAGATCATATGATACATGTCTTTCTCTGATTGACTTATTTCGCTTAGCATAATACCCTCTAGTTCCATCCACGTTGTTGCAAATGGCAAGATTTCGTTCCTTTTGATGGCTGCATAATATTCCATTGTATATATATATACCACATCTTCTTTATCCATTTAAACTTGTACAATAAAACACCCAGTATTAATCCATTTTACTTTAATGCTTAATAAACACTAAAACAAATTTCTGATTCAAACACCAAAAAACCAGTAAAATGTACAAAACCAGTAAAATTAAAATTAATAATAGGAATGAAATGTGACATGAGATTGTTTTGCTAAAACCCTATCTCTCTTCATCATGCAATGTGGTACACTGTCCAAACCCAGGCTCTTTCCACATCAGCCCATTGACATCACCACCGGCCAGGCACGGACAACCTCTCATGCTCGGCTTTCCTCAATTCAAACTACTTCTAAACCTTCCATCCTTCCGATAAAATGTGCCTGGCTGCTTTCTTTCAGCTTTCTTTCAGCTTTCAGCAAATACGAACGCATTTATACATTAACCCAACCTCTATTCTCTCCTCATTAGGGGAAAATAAATAAAGCAACTTCACTTGGCATTAACGTGATCACAAACACAAATGTGGCTGAAATCACTCAGTGATTGGATTCGACATTTAGATAACTTGAAATATATAAGCTTGTAAGAATATATATGTATTATGTATACATATGTATGCATATATCTATATGAAATAATCAACACTTAATTTGAAAATAAAAAATTAAAACATGCTCTTAGAAAATCTGTGAATCCTTGAGGAAACACGGCTGCAAGCACAGGTGGGTGTGGAATCCCGCCTCTGTCTGTAGACAGCTTCATCTCTCCCCCTTGTGCATTTTCTCATATCCAGAAAGAAATCAAACTAATTGTCTTTACCTCCCCCACTCGCATATCTAAACATTAGACGTATTTATTCATCTCTTCTAGAACAGTCACCAACATTTATTGAGTATCTACCATAACTGCTTCTCAATTTCTTAAGAACTCTATAAATAATATTATTGTTATTGTGATTCCATTTTTAAGACGAGAAATCTGGAACTCAGTGAGCTTAGTTTAAGAAACTTGCATAAGGGGCACCTGGGCAGCTCAGTCGGTTAAGCGTCTGCCTTCGGCTCAGGTCATGATCTTGGGGTCCTAGGATTGAGTCCTGCTTTGGGCTCTTTCCTCCACAGGGAGCCTACTTCTCCCTCTCCCTCAGCCCCTTCCCCTCGCTCATGCTCTCTCTCGCACGCGCTCTCAAATAAATAAATAAATAATTTTAAAAAGACATATAAAAAAAAAGAAACTTGCCTAAAACACAATTATTTGCATCAGAGGCAGGGCTTTGATTCAGTGCTATCTGACCTCAGACCCCACATTCTTGTTCCTATGGTATCCCCAGAGTATCAAAAAGTTTCTAGCACATAGTAGATACTCAACAAATATGTCTTGAATGAATAAAAGAACAGTGACCTGTTTGTGTTGTGCCAGTCTGCCTCTACTCATA